GTCACACACACCGAGGGCAGGATTTTGGGACCAAGGGTTGCTTACCTGCCTCATCGCAGGTGTCATACCGGGTTCCCTCCTATCACCCTAAGAAAAGCGTGTATAAGTGGTTAACCGGCTTGTCACGAGCATCGAGGTAAGAGAGGGATTTATTTTCTCTTTTAAGTTAATTATAATTATTAATAACTAATTAGAGTTAATTCTAATTAAACTTAATTAATTAATTATAATTAATACATAGTTAATTAATAATTAATTATAACTAAAGATAATTAATCATAATTAAAGTAAATTAAAAGTAAATTAATTATGATTAGATTATCATTAATAATAATTAGAAAACTATCAATTATAATTAAATTTAATTAATTAAATTAATATACAATTAATTAATTAATATTGATTAAACATGATTAATCTTAATTAATCATGATTAATTAAATACTGGTTATAATTAATATAATTAATTATAATTAAGTTTAATTAATTATCATTAATTTATAATTAAAACTAATTAATAATAATAATAATAATAACTTAAAAAATGCCCAAAGGGCTGCTTGGTAACAGGATTTGGCCGAAGAGGTGCGCGGCTGTCCCCAGGAAGCATGTACTTGAGAAAGAAGACGGTTGAGTTGGGATGATTTGGCTCTGGTATATTCCTTATGTTTGAGGGCTCCAAAAATTTGGCTCCGGCCTCCGTCCGACTTGTGCTTTTCTTCTTGGGGGGGAGTTTTAACGAAATAAGTTTCGGGGTAAATTTTGGAAGGCATATGAGGTTGTAGATAAGACACTACCCAGAGATTTTACCCTCATTTTGCGAGGACTTTATGATCTGAGTTCTGGTTTCCTATATGCGCAAGCCCCTATAGTTAATTACCCCTCCCGGTAACGAGAGAGAACTTTCGATTAAGGCTAGTCGTCGATCAAATACGTAGAAATATGTGTTATCTAGCATATAGTAACAGCATGGACATAGGTATTTGAAGAGTTTGGAGATTTGAAAAATTGATATTTAAAATAGAAATTACACCATCTTGCACTTAAAGCGGATATTAGAGGGATTAGATGATAGACGCGATCAAGATCCCATCGTTTCGTCGTCTCGGGCCATCGTGGTCCCTGGTCTACTTAGTCAGAGGAGGTAGTCGACCCAACCTGACAGAAGGATCCTTGTCGGCAGCCATGGGTTACTTCGTCCAAGGGGACCTTGTAGACCTGGGGTGAATGTTTATCTAAGGGGACAAATTTGAATCCACCTTAGCTAACAGAGGGCTTTGTGCCCTATCGATTATATCTTATTGGTTCATATCTCAAGGATTTTATGCCACTAAGGAGCGTATTAGCTTTGGCCATAACCGGTATTTTGTGATGCCATTTGGCGGCAAATCTACTCGGTTCATAGGGTCCCGAGTCATAACCGTTTATCCTGCAGTGCCATTTGGCGGTAAAACTGTCGGTTAAAGGACACGTACCATGTCCTTACTGACAGGAGATTGTTAGAGAATAGATCCTAGTGATATTTTCGACTAGGCATTAGCTCTATGTGAGCTGAAATAAATTTTAATTTTTACACCCCGACAAACTATGGTGGAGGGTGGATGGATTTTACTTTAAGGGATTGATGATTGGATTTCAGTTTTAAATTTTTTTTTTTGGACTTGGGATGATTTTGAGATTTTTGTGGACATTTGGGTGAAGATTTAAATGTTGGAATCACCCCTCCAATTGAGATCTACGTTCAACACAACCATCCTTGGGGTGTTTGGGGGCATTTTCATTTATGGACTGAACCTTGTCGACTCTATAAAGCTGTTATAGAACATTAGGTTCATTATAGGTTTTGTGCCTTTATTAGTGAATTCTCATTATTATAGGCCTTGAATGCCTATTGTGAATATATTAAGATAAATATATCGGTTGTTATAATCGTATATTTGTTTGATTGTTCGAACCCTGTCGACTCCTATTGATTCACATAGGACTAAAACATTTTCGAACTGGTAGAGGAGGAGATTTCTATGAGCAATTCTTTGCCTTGACACAGGAGGAGACTGTGGCAGATATGTATGCATGGCACTTATATTTAAATCATTATAGATATGTATGTTGGAGCTATTACTTGTGTTCAAACACAAGGTGGTTTGACTAAGTATTTTCCTATATCGGTTGGATTACTTGTGTTCAAACACAAGAGGAGATCCAAACAGTAGTTAGGGTGATGAGGCCACGAGACCTGGGAGAGGCCATGGAGCTAGCACAACTGGTGGAGGACTAGAAGCATTTGGAGAGGGGGGTTAGGGGGAGCAACTTAGGGGGGTTATACGGGATGACCACTACTTTCTTAGTTCCGAAGGGACCTGCACTAGGGGGGTTGAGGAAGTGCCCAAGGAGAGAGTTGGAGGAGAGGGAATTGGGGAAAATTTCAAAAGGCTAACTGAGAAGGAAATACAGGAGAAGAGGGCAAATGGGTTGTATTTTAGATGTGATGAGAAGTACATGTCAGGGCATAGGTATAAGGACTGAACTATTCAAGTTCTTATCGTCTGTGATGACGAGGAAGCTAAAATGGGAGATGAAAGTGGGTAAGAGATAGAGGGCGAGCAGAAGCTGCATCTGGATGTGGCACAAGTTTTCCTAAACTTCATGGTGGGATTCACTCCGAATCACACTATGAAAGTAAATTAGAGATAACTGATAAAGAGGTGGTAGTATTGATAGATAGTGGGGCAACCCACAATTTCATCTCGACTCAGATTGTTGAACTGTTGGGGGTGAAATTAGTGGATAAAGGAGGTATGGGGTGATGATCGGCACGGGAAAGGTGGAAATGGGTAGAGGAGTTTTTAGAGTAGTGCTTATGATTAAGGGGATCCATATGAGGGAAGACTTTCTTCCCTTGGAGTTGGGGAGTACTAATGTCATCCTGGGGATGAATTGGCTGCAGACCTTGGGGGAGACCAAGTTCAATTGGGGTGTTCTGAGGATGGAACTAATGGTGGGAGAAAAGAGGATGGTGATCCAGGGCGATATAGGGCTGTTCAGGGCCAGAGTATCTCTCAAATCCATGATCATAATCATATAGGAGGTGGGAGGTTGATATTTGGTGGAATTGCAATGCATAGAGAGGGTCAATGTGGGGGAAGATGGAGAAATTCCTCTGGAAGTACAACCACTCATACAACAGTTCAATGAGGTGTTCCAGCCACCTCAAGGCTTACCACCACCCAGAGAGTAGGAGCATGCAATCATTTGCTCCGGTCGAACCATTGAACCGCTAACCTCTCCTTCTTGTTCATTGTCTGATCCGATTTTCAAAACCTTGATTATGATAATATAATTAACATAAATTATTAGTGCATAGACAACCATGAAGCCTTGTGTTTCACAGATCATGTGCAATCTCTTTGACTTTGTTTTTATGCATGTTGAACATTATATTGGCAAATCTTCCAAACCACGTTTTTAGTAATTTCTTTAATTTATACAATGTTTTTTTAGCTTACTTTTAGTTGGCCTTTACATCTACTCCTAAAGTTGATCCAATCATACGCAATAATGACGATGAAGAACGGAAATAAAATCACACAAATATGGTTTGAAACATCTTGATCGAGTCAAAATCACTAAAGTATCACTCATTTTCAAAATGAACCTCCATGGCAAGACAGGAACATTAAAAATATTAAAAAATAACACATTATCCAATCCATCGTACAAGACAAACATATCGAAATTTCATCTACATAAAAGGTGACGAGCAAAAATCAGAGCACATGACTACGATAGTTCGCAAACAAGAACTGATACATGCATATGTTTTAAGTTTAATGATTTTTTTATCAATTATTTATTTAATAGATGCATATGTTTTAAGTTTAATGACTTTTATCAATTATTTATTTGATAGATGCATATATTTTAAGTTTAATAGTTTAATGATTTTTTTAATTATTGAGGCATGCATAAACGTCGCCCTTCCGATGACACGGTTAGGAGAGTAGATATATTAGAAATTTAGAATTGGCATATATTAAGAAATGTAGAGGTAAACCTAAAAAAGGCTTTATTAGAAAATATTAGAAATGACAAATTTTTATTCGATTTAAATGAAAATTTGACTCTTAACAAAACAAAATGGGAGAAAAGGGTTTCTTGTAGCCGATCCCACGTGGTGGGATAAAGACTTGATGTTGTGTTATGTAGGATTCTTAATCATCTGAATCTCATGCCCGCATGCTCGTGTCTTACACATGTCGTTACCACCAAAACTATCAAAACCCTCGACGATACAAAAAAGCAAACAATCAAGAAGGAGATCACACGATCTCCTCTTTCCCAAACTTGCCCCACTCGCCCTCCTTCTCAGGCAACAATCCATGCACAGAACGAGGCTTGGACCCTCTTTTGACCATCTCTTCCAAACTCCTCTTCACGTTATCCTCTCAAACCCATTTAGAACCCCACTCGCCGTTCAACCTATTACATATCCACCAGTCACAATTGGATCCAAAATAATTTCCTGCCCCTGAAGTTCAACCAATTAAAAGAAAAGAATGTGATGTGTCTCAACACGTGATAAGATTCTAATTCATAATATTCAGAACTGGATCCACAATATTGACTTGGGAGCGTACAGAGTGCACGTATTAAAGCTCAAATGAAATTTTTTTGTGCATTTTAGCAGCAAAATATTTATGCGAGTGATTAAATTTGAACAATAAAAAATTCATGCACACACACCATAAAAAGTTTCCAATCTCAAATATGTGCTTTGAAAAGCGTACAAGTGCACTATGCAAATACAACATATAAGTGCACTATGCAAATGAATCATATAAAAATATTAAAGACAATGCAAATCCATTGTGAAAATGTCTTAAAAAATGTGTGCATTATGCAAACGCATCGTGCAAATGTATCAACAAGAAGAATATACGGAATATTACACCATATAAAACAATGTAAAAGTACAAAGGAAACAAAGCAGGTAAAATTACCAAGGAATCTGTGTTCTCTTTCCAGTCCGTATCATGCCCACAGTTTTCACTGTATTTTCCTTCAGAAATTTTATAGTTCGACCCCTTAAAGATTTTGTTCAGCCAATCCATAGAGCAAGAGGTTATCGGAGCATGGCAATAGAGAAATCCATAATCCTGACATATCACAGAACTATACAATATAAGTATGGCAATAGGCAAAGAAACAAATAATTCTGAAAGAAGCGCATGATGTGATTAGATATAAAAAGGATTTGAAGCCTTTTCATCCCTTTGAAAGGCTAACGGGATATCCCGAGGGTTAGAACTCATTGGCTTAAAGAATGAAACGTATGAAAACATTTAAACCAAAGAAAACAACATAATCATTTAAAATCAGGAAAAGTAACAAAACAAAAGAATTATTTAAAGAAACAAGAAAATGATTTTTTTTAAATAGACCTTATACAATTCTAGTACAACCAGAACATCTAAACAAGTTAAATCTATAGCAGTTCCTACAATGAGCATGTACCAGAACACTGAAAGATTAAACTCTCTGATTATATGATAAGATCATAAATAGTTGGTTTCCAACTTTTACAATCTCAAACAACAAAAAGCAATAGATCGTAAAATTAGAGTTTAATAAGAAGGAAGCTAAATTGTCATGCTAGAGTTGAGCAAAGCAACGAGACAATTGATTTTGTAGCTGGCCCATAAATAGTGGGTTGAATAAAATAAATATAGGATTTATTTTAATAATAGGTGGAGATTGAAAGGCATTCTTGAAGGATAACCAGGAAAAATATCATTTCAGCTTTTCAAATGATCACCTTAAAATATGCTCCCTCTTCATCATGAACAAGTTGCTCCCACAATCCATTGCATTATAAATTTATATTATCAAACAAAAGCTTAGAAACAAGAGTGATTAATCAAGCTCCTATTATTTGAATTCTCATGGAGAAGGCATTCCTACTGATTCAGTGCGATAAATCATCATGCAGATTATGGTTTACACTTTCCTATTTTTAAAGTTTATGTGAAGAGAGAAAATGGGGAGGGATGTAGTGAGACATGCAACGAAATAAAAAACAGCTGTCACAACCTAAAATACAGCAAGAGAGAACCTTGGATGCAAGAAGACAAACTTATTCGGTCAATAATAAAACAAACTTAACATCAAATCTTCATGTAGAATTTTCTGTCTGCAAGCAACCATAAAATTTACGCCAAACCCTATCTCACTCCAAAGAAAGACACCATGGAATTTAAAAAGCATTTCTAACATAGTATCTGATAGCTTGAGAAAACGAACACCAAAAAAGGATTCATGTAGCCGACCCCACATAATAGGATAAAGGCTTGATGTTATTGTTATTGTACAATTAGGCCGACAATGTTAAAAATTCAACATAAATTTTATGTGAATACCATTAAGACAACAATGTCATACAGATCCAATGCTAAGACGTTTTAAAAAATCAAAGATATATAAGTTGAGTGTTCTAGAAATAAGAATGATACGATAAATGTGTGGCAAAATTAAAAAGCATATATTATGAAATGATTATATTAGCCAAATTGTTGGAGTGATATCTATAAAGGATAATATAATTGAATATAGACTTTGGTGGTTTAGATATATACAACAAAGAGTAAAAAATATACCCATTAGAAAAATAGATAAAATTATATTCAAGGGAATATATGAAGGAGAAGTAGGCCTAAAGTTCAAAGGATGGAAGTTAGTCAAAATGATTTTGGAAGAATAGGTTAAACTCTCAGACAATACTCCAAGGAGAAAAATAAATATTCATAAACCTAACCCAAATAGTTGGGCTAAAACTAATTAAGATGATCATCATCATGATCATCAATTGCATAAGGGTTTGTTTTCTTATATCTTGTTGATGTCATAAAGTAAGCAAATGAAATGGCACTGGGAAAAATCATCAGGTTGAGAAAAGAAATTGTGATGGAGATGGAAAAAAGGAAAAGGTAAAAAGATGGATGCACGTTCATCTTGCTTTTAAGCAAAGGAGAAAGGATTAATATAGCCAATTTTGGAGTTCAAATTGAAAGAGGAGAAAACAAGGAGTAAAAGAAAAGCTAGAGAGAGAAAACAAGGAGTAAAAGAAAAGCTAGTCATCTCGGGCCTCCAACTAGACGCAGCAATGATGGTGTGGCGGTAGAAGAGGTAAAGAAACCTTATTTTTCATAGATGGAAAGTGAGATATCATTTTATGATATCAATTTCATTATCATTTAAATTGATAATGAGGAATGCTCTCAATTTTGAGAAAAAAAACTTTTATTATTAAAAAGTCATAAATATTCTAGAAAAACATTTCTATATTAGTTTTTGATAAGTTATTTTGAAATTTGACAAGCCAATTTCTTTTTGACATATTAAAATTTGAGGTGTTATTTATAAGTTTTACTTATAAGTTATTAATTACTCAAATGAAAACTGCATCTCAAACAGCTATTATCAGATACGCATGAATGCCATTAAAACTATGGAGTACTTTTATCTTTTCTTCAATACAAAAGCTCTGAAATAAATTCATATAAAAATTTTAATTACACTTAAAGCTCAAAAGAGTAAAAGAAAATTAACAATAAATGTAATTCATATGAATACTTACAAGAAAAAATTCAAAGTGGAACTTAATAAACTAGTAAATATAGCTAACTTATATTTGTTGGGAAGTATGTGAAGCGTAGTTTAGGGGGAATATTTTGAATATAGCTGATTCCAATTGTGTCTTGAACAAACCTTGCAAAATTTAACTACAATACCCTATCATGTTTATATTGATCAACTTCCCTTTACGAAGGAGTATTTTGAGGTGTAGGGGTGACATAAATCTATTTAAACCAAAAAAACATATTTGCTTTATTTGATTCGGGTTTTTATTTGAAAGGATTATTTGGGTTATGGTAAAATCGATTTAACCGAAAACCAAAATTTTGCCTAAATAAAAACTCATTTTTATTGAACACTCCATATTTAGATAATTTTATTTGCTTGTATTTTGTTTAAATAATAGTTTAAAATGTCTTTATTTATTAACTGAACTAAATAAGCTGAGTTGTCTTGAGTTCGGATCTACCAATGATTAGGTCAATTCATGTCTACCTTTGATTCGATTCAATTAATTTAACAAATCCATCAACCAATTCATCTGAACCAACTAAATGCACACCCATATTGAGGTAAATGACGTAGAATTTGAACCACAATGACTTCAAATAGTTGAAATTTTTTTGAAATAGTTTGCTTGGAAACAAGCGCATGCCAGTACCATATGAGGTTGTCGTCTTATTGCTTGCAGTAAGGTGAGGCAAAACAACCCAACACCCCCTCCCCCCTACCGCCACCAAAAAACTGCCACTCAATAAAGAAAGGGTTGGATTGATAGGATAATTTGAGGCACAACAACTTTGAGAAGTCGAAATTTTTTTTGGAATGGTTTACATGGTAATGAGCACATATGCCAGTACGATCAGAGGTTGTCATCTTACTGCTTGCAACAAGGAAAGGCAAAACCACCCTACCCCCTTTTCCACCAAAGACTTAATCACTCAATAAAGAAAGGATTAGATGGGTGTTCAGTCCAACCTCTCTCTCTCTCTTAAACTAGGGTCAGTTGAACTATAATTCAAGTTATTCATGCATTCAAGAACAAAGTATGATGAGTCGAATCTTATCCAGGGAGATACACCATTTAAGCTAGTTTCAACTCCAAATTGGCCAAATTAAGTAAAAATGAACTTCAGTTAGATCTTTCTGAATCGGATTTATGCTTGGATTGGTGTTTGTTCAGGTGATAAGTTGTGATCCCAAACTTCACAGCCATCTAACTTCCAGTTGTGCTTAAATATATATTTTTTCTTTAAGGTGCATCAACATCTAGAAACCGCTATAACTAAGTTCAAACTTCATAGCAATCAAAATGGATGCAACACCGAGATTTTTATTTTGTGATGGTCTCTGAGAATGTGATTTCAATTGATCCGCTTTAAGTGCTAATTCCAGCATTTGAACCGTCAATGTAATTGATGGTGAAAGAACATAACACCACCACCACTGACAAAGCAACAGCCAGACAAATCTCATCCAGCATCCCATAACAAACCCATACAACATAACCATCACGTGTAAAGCTATCTTAAGCTTTTGCCTATATATACACAATGTACTGTTTATAACAGATCAGTGAAAAACACATTTACATAGAATTACTGTGCATACTTTTTACTTCTGCCTTTATTCTATTAGGCAACTTTACCTGCATAGGAAACCAAGCTTTTTCATGGTATCAGAGCAGGCGTGATCCTCCTTTATCCCATGGCTCCTTCTGCCACCTCTCAATTCAGCAAACCATCCACAAACACCTTGATGTAGACAAAGGGGGGGTCAACTTATGTCCAAAATAAATCAATTTTGGCCTCCCTCGAGTTTACAAGCTCAATCAAAATTGAGCTGAAATTTTAGCTCATTTATGAGCTGGTCTTTAGTTCACTTATTGAACTAAGGGTTAGCTCATTATTAGCTAACATTTTAGTTCATAGTTATCTTTTTATTAATGTAATTTTTATTGTTTTTTTTTTGTGTTTTAATAATGTTTGTCTCTTGGAATTCCAAACCGACTTTTGGAATTCCAAGATGTGTTATTTCCCATGCCGTGGCTCCTTGGCTTCCACCATGGGCTGCTGTTTTCCGTGCCTTTGCCCCTTGGATTTCCGGCCGGCTACTGGTTTTCCGAGCCTGGGAGTTTTCCTGTGGCTTTGACGACTTGGTTCCGTGCAGCCTCCTTGGCTCCCGTGGCTGCTCCTTCGATTCTTGGGCTTGGGATGTTTTTCCGTGAAAAGCAATAGGATTTTAATGGTTTGTCATGTTTGGAATTCCAATGAGAATTCAATGTTTGTGTCTTTTGGTATTCCCCTTTCATGCCTATAAATATGAGGCGTTTGTTATGTTTTAAGAAAGTGAATGATATATTATTTTTGGAAAAGCTATAACCTGCGGGTTTGCTTGGAAAAGCTTGCGAGCTTTGTCCGTCTTCTTTCTCATCCCCTCCGGAAATCTTGCGAGCTCTTTCCAACATTTCTTCTCGGCTTCTAACCTCTTTCGTCTCTCCGCAAGTGCCACTCCATCTGTATAC